ATGACACTCTTTGAGCATATCATTACAAAAGACATCCAGAACCCTTATTCTAAAAAAAAATGAGGAAAATAAAGTGTATTAAATACCTAAGGGCCAAAATTTGTCTTTATATCTATTTGCCTTATAATGAGAAATTCTTCATTCTGACTTTGTCTATTTGTTTTAATCTGAAATTACATTCCATCTGCTGTGTATATTTTTTCAAATTTGCATTTGATGTCTGTCTCCAGAGGTGACTAATGATATCTTAATTCACATATATCCAGTGCTTTCCCCCACTTGCATTCTACAATTTATAAAAAGCTTTAAAATACGAAACTTGCTTTGCTTTTTTATGTGTGCTAATCTTTATAAGATGATTATCCCTGTATTTTTAAAAATTATTCATAAACAGTTTCAGAAGCAAAGGCTTGAAATAGAATTTTTTTCCTGCTAGTTAATAGCAAAATAACCATTTTCCTATTGTATTCTTCATCGTGGAGAACCATAACAATATAGAAAGATTTGCGGTAAACTAGATGTTGACAAAAAAGCTCTAGTAACATATAAATGCACAAGTCTGGAAATTATTCATAAAATTTATTACAGAGATGTGAGGGCAGGAGTAAAGCTTTCTTTGAACAAATAGAGATGTATCAAATACAGAAAAATACCTGAACTACTGCTAAGTTTCTACAGTGTCCATAGCAACAAAATTATATTGAGGTTCCTGGCTGGTCTAAGACTAGCGTAAATGGATGAGCTTATATTTCCCAGGAAGGAAATAACAGTAGCCCATTGTAGGGGGATGAAGGGACCTGAGTTTAAGGTGATCTCTCTTAAGTTAATGGATGGTAACGTAACTGGCACAAATGAAGAGCAGCCTGTCAAAGCAAAATCAAGCCTGAGATACCAAAAAGAGTGAGCTATGACCCTGACCCACACGAAGATCCCAAAGAGTAAATCTACAAGAGGATGAGCAGGAAGTATGAGCCGAGGAAAGAGGTGAGAGGAAGGAGGAAATTGGAGTTGAGGAGCTAAGATTAGAAACCCACAAAAAAGCCAGATGTGGAGAACACTGCAGAGAGCCCTTGCTCCTACTAGAGGTATACTTGGCTCTGTGGGTTTCTACAAGCTATGCACAGATCTCCGAGTCACTAGAAATCATTTTGTGGAATGCAGAGTTGCAGACCTACCTACTGAAGCATCCCTGGGCCACAGGGTGCCCTAATCACTAATTCTGTGATTCTGAATATAATATACTGTGATGGCTTTAGATTTGGGGAGCCCAAATGCCCACCCAGTGGAGTTACTGGGGAACGCTAAAGATTTTCTTTTTGGAAAATGTACTCTGTGCAATAAATAGCTTTACAATTATGGGCTTTTAACTTATAGTTCTCAACCTATATTAAAGAAAAAACTCTTTGAAGTACCCATGTTGAAAAAAAGAAATTCTTTAGAGTCGCTTAAGTAAATAATTTCTTTAAAATTTATTTTGTGCCAAACCCCCTTGGAGAAAACAAAGGATGCTTTGCTATATCGTTGTGTTTTATATATATATATATATATATATATATATATATATATATATATATATACATACATATTCTGGAAAGCCTAGTTACCAGATGTTTTCAATAGATATGTGCATGCAACATAAATGTATAACACCAGTTCCATCTTAAAATGCACAGTTATTTTCTTGGAGCAACCTAGCAAAATGAGAAATTAGCTTCCTTTAATAAAGCAATTGACATCTGCCTTATAACACTAAAAAATTAAAAGACAAATGTGCATCATTAGACATGCCCTGCTTAATTTGTATCCCGATCTTGAGAAAAAGATACTGCGTACAGTAAGTACCCACTAATGTCTTTGATTAAATAAGTATATTTTTAACTATTCAGTTTATAGCCATCTCCATAGAAGAGTAATCTTTCTTAGTGAGAGAACAATTCTATTTTATTTTTTAATTAAAGACATGTCGATGCAATTTTATTTCAAGATGGTAACTAATATTTTCATTGTGTCTATGTCAATAGTAATGTTTACATCACAAATACTCAACAACAAAACCCTAACTTTTGAATCAGTAGGAAGTGTGTTTCATGCATAGGAAAAGGATGTGTTAAAATGTTTTCTAAGTATATGCAGATCTACAGTATTGATTAATATTTTGAATGCCAATGTATTATTTTATTCTCATTTTCTATATACCACCCAATACATTATAGCATATAGGCAGTAATCCCACTGAGATTTAACAAATGTATCTGCTGATTCTGTTCAAAAGACTGTCACTGCTAATGCTTGTCATAAGCCGGAAGAGTAAATATTAGATAACTAAAGAGAAGAAAGACCAGCTTTCCAAAATATATGGTGGAAGTGTGTTTACATCAACAAGATTGCCCTGGCCACACTTTAGACGGTTGTTTATTTGCTTTATTGGATTTTTTTTTCATTAAAAATGTCCTATTAAAAAGGCCTCAAAAGCAGACGTGACTTTTTCCTCTGTATGCTTTTTTTTTTACATTTACCCATTTTGTAGGTGAACAACCTAGAGACATTTAAACTTTTCATTATATCCAATCTGTTGAGTGATAAACTTTGTAAAACTGAAGTGATAATGAACAAAACTGCAGTAGAGGTTAAAAGAAAGAATGTGGCTAAAGTCGGACACAGTGGTTAGACCATAATAAGCATATTTTCAATAATCCAAAGTACGATCTGTGAGATTCGCTCACTAAAACCAAACTGAGTAACTGCCGCTGATGAAGTTTCTTTAGTAAACTTTAGAACATTCCACTTCTCTATTCAATAAAGTAAAATGTTAATATAAATACTATATTCAAAAAATCCCACTTATTAAAAATGGCTATTTTTTTGCATTATTATTATTGACTTTTCACAGATTACAAAAAAAAAAAAACTAGAGTAAGAAATTTCTTTAATTCACCCTAAAGGTACTAGTAAATTTGAGAAAAATTCTAGTTATTATAATTAAGATTAGAATTAACCTTCACATTAAATCAAATGAAAGCAAATATAGCAGTTAGTAATGCCTGAGGAAGCAAAGGTCATAAAGCAAAACTTGTTCAGTGATTTGAAATCACCTTCCAGTTGCACTCTTTCAGAATTCTTTTGTAACCCCCATGTTCCTCTCTCTTTAACTTTTTTTATTAAATAATGTTCCTCTGCTCTTACCAACGATTTTCTTTGTGTGAACTTGTCAAATCATCTCAGTCTTTTTACAAGGCCTTTATGTAGCTCTCTGAGAGACTATCAGAGAAGTCCAACTGGGAGAATGATTTATGAGATTTAGAATGAAGGGTCATTATTAACATTGTCTTGCCTGCATTGAACGTAGAGCCTCCTGTTCACACATGGCAGGATTTTAATTCAGTCATCAAAGAGGTAGAATTTTCTAAGTGAAGGCATATGAATAGTATCATTGGTTGCATAAGCTTGCAATGACTTCCACTTTAATATATATATATATATATATGGTTTGTTCAAATAGGTTAGAAAACATTAGGAAGTCGTGTCTTAGGGTGTGTGCTTATCTCTACTGTTCCCACAGTATTTCTGTAGCTGTAAGCATGGTATCAAAAGTTGTAATTTTATATGTCCTTAGGTTAGTATCTAATATTCAGTAATATGCAGAGTGGATGTTCTTCAGTACAACGCTAAATGCAGAGAGAGCATGCAAGAGTGGATTCTCTGTTTTGAAGAGAGGTTGATTTTAAGTGTTTTTACTTTATCAGAGTACTCCTGACTTGTGTTCAACAATCATTGGCACTAATGATGTTTATGCGGCTCAAAGAAAATTATGCTTTTTCTTACTATTTCAGTGCCCAATGTCTTTTTCTTATTACAACAGACAAATCTAATTACTTCTGATAGATCTGAAGAACTGTGATTTGAATCATGAATAATTCCATTCCAATCAAAGTTAAATCTCAAATGTACCCACGAAACTCAGCTTTTTATAAGCACGTTGTACACAGAGGCTAAAATAAGGGTATATTTTTAACTCTTAGGACTTTGGACAGTAGTTTAGACAATGTGTATTTTGGGGATATATCCAAACCTCATCGCTTCCTCCTCTCCAACCCTTGTGCATTCTCTCTGAGCTCTGTTCAGGATGTCCATCTCTCTTTTGATATCTCTCTTCATAAATCTCATTTCTTCTAAGGATTCTTGACATCACTGAATCCAATGCCTTGACTATGATAGCTACCATTAATTGAGCTCCTGCTATGTGATGAATGGCATTCTAAGTTTCTTTTTTAATCTGGTAACTTTAATCAACCAAAGGGAATGACTGCCACTGTATTCTTCAGTTGATAGAGAGGAAACCAGAAATAACTGCTAAGCAATCAGGCCAGAGTCACATAGCCTCTGCCTGAGCAAGCCCTATACATCTTTCCATGATATATTCTCAAGGTGCTTAATTCTTGCCTTCAATATGGTTATAATTTTTACATTTGGTTTCCTGTTTGTGTGATTAATGTCTGCACATTCTGCCGTGCCAAAAGATATTAAGATAACATCTAGTGTTTGATTGATGAATAATTTCAGTTGACAGCAATTAAGCTTTTGTCATGCTGGCCACTACATCTTAATTCTTAACTCTCATAAGTCTTACTAAGCTACCTATCAGTTTTAACGTCTACTGAATAGATGAGGAAACTGAGGCAGAGAAAGGATTTGTACAAGATAACAGAGCTGGCAAATGATGAAAGCAGTGTTCAAACTCAGCAAACTGGCTGGAGAGCTCTGAATATATGAAGAGATGAAAAATGGAAATTAGCTTGGAGCATAAGGGAAAGGTGGCATGTGATAGATGTAGAAGGACTATCCAGGCCCAGGCCACAGAGCCAATAAATCCATCCAGGACCACACCACTGGAGCACAAGTACTGGGGAAATCCAACCACTGGGATGGATGTTGTTGCCACATTGGGTTAACTGGTTCCACTGCTAATGCTCATGTTTTCGTATTTGTTTTCTCTCTTTCAGTGCCACCGTGGGCCTTAATTGCCATAGCCATAGTTGCAGTCCTTTTAGTCGTGACCTGCTGCTTTTGTGTCTGTAAGAAATGTTTGTTCAAGAAGAAAAACAAGAAGAAGGGAAAGGAAAAGGGAGGAAAGAATGCCATTAACATGAAAGACGTGAAAGACTTGGGGAAGACCATGAAAGATCAGGTAATGCACTCACTCTTTGTACCTGTGCACAGACTCTTCTGTTGAGAAGTCACAGTCAGTGGGGGGTCATGTTCTTTTATACCAGATGCTTACAGAAATGAACAACTTGTGGCAACTGTTGTTTTTTGTAGAGATGCTTGACAGTCCTTTCTGGCATTTCTCAGTCTCCCAAAGTGTAGTAGACAAGGTACAGTGGCTCTCTCTCTCTCTCTCTCTCTCTCCCCTCTTCCTTTTCCCTCTCTCTCCTTTCCTCTCTCTCTCTTTTTCTCTCTCTCCCCCTCCCTCAGTCTCTTCCTTTCTCTCTCTTTCTCTCCCCCCTCCCTCAGTCTCTTCCTTTCTCTCTCTTCCTCCTCTTCCTTCCTCCTTCTCTCCCTCCGTCTTTCCCTCCCTCCCTCCCCTCTTCCCCTCCTCTTTCTCTCACATAAACCAAGGTAGGACTTCTACATTATCAGGTATAGATGTTCATGGGCCTGGCATAATAAGATAATGTCTGGACATTTTTATTCCATCTCGTTAGCCAGTCTTAATTGCTTTAGAATATTTTTTTAGAAAATAGAACTATAATACAAGGTACCTGAGTGCTTTCCATCTTGGACAGGGGTCTCTTTCTGACTCACCCACTGTCCTGAGTCTCTCATCAAACTATTTATCACACTTTATAAATGCCAACATTGCTACCCACCCTGCCTGCTCAGCCATCAGATGCCAGAAATAATAAGTTCTCTGTGATGGAGGGACGTAGGATCCAGTCCTAAAGAAGACCAAGTTGAAAGGCAACATTATATTTCCTCAATTGGTGATCATAATTATAATTAATGCTGTCAATAACCTATAACCCAAGCAATATTCCCATGCATAGAGAAGGTGTTTGGCGTCCTTGGTGGTGATGTATATTTTTAACTAAGTTAACAGGATAACTTAGTTCATGTAAAGTTTAATAAAAAGTACAAAATCCTTCTTCATTTGGGAGATAACACTTATATGTTTCCAAAGAAAATTTAACTCATATGAAATGGGATGTAAAGATATCTTATAGAAATATTTATAATTATTGTTTATTATCAGATAATTTAAATGTTCTATTTATTTCCAAATAGAAACACATATAGAAAGTTTTCCCAACTGTTTTATAGCAATGATTACTACTAGCTGAATCATTAGCACAGGAATATGAGTGGAGTTTGATCAGGGGTTAACACAAGCCTCATAGTACATGCTTACAGCTTCCTACTTCCCTACAATCTCACTCATGTTCTTTCCCAGTTTGCGTGTGAAACTCCTTCTCAAAGATGCTGTGGTGTCTGTTGATAGACATGTTCCAGGGACTCGCTTCTCATTCCCTGTACTTTAGCTTGGTTTTAGAGCTGCAGAATGGATGTGAAGTCTGTTCTCATGCTCACAGAATTTGGCCTAAGCTCAAGGTAAAAAGATTCGATTTCTCTGGCAGTTTCTCATCAGTCACAGAAGCTTATGTACAACTACAGATAACTAAGAAGGAGTTTTCTCTTCATTTAATTTGTTAAGTAGATACTCAAATTTTGGCTTAGAGCAAGTAGGATTTAATACTGATGGGTTTTTTTTTCCTTTTTGATTTACTTAGGGTTTTTTTTTTTTTAGACAGGATCATAGATTTTTTTAAAAACATTTTATTAATAAGTATAGAAATAATGTCCCTTGCATAGGATAGAAAAAGAATGTTATTTTAGCAATATCTTTAAAAACAATAATTTGAAGATATAGTACTATCATTTTTATAATTATCATAAATTTTAATTGTGATTTTTGTGTGTGTGTGTGTCCTGAAATTAACACTTAAAAGCATTAATCATTCTTACGTGGTAACTGTAGCATTTCTTTCTAGGATAAGAACATCGTATTTTCATATGTGGATCTGTTCTATATTATGTAATACTATAATGGATGGCATAGTGCCATTATTCCCATTACACCATGGATAAATGACCAAGATCTCACATATAGACCTGACATTGATTTTCCATCTAGTCCCTGTCCTTTGGATGGGTAGGGATAGGGGAATGTGAATCAAATAAGGAAACAGTAAGAGAAAGTCAATGATAGTTTATAAGAATTTAGTGATATAGCCAAGAATCGAGAATCAGCCACTTAAAATGGTTTTAATTACTTTAAGTCAATAATTGTATATACTTGGGGCTTTAGCTAGGCATAATTTTTTTTAATTTTAAATGTAAAGAATAAAATATAATTGTAATAAATGAAATTATCATGCCCCAATGATAATTATGTAATCGGTAGTATATGTTTATACCAATCCTTACAAAAGTAGCTAATGGCTTATAAAGAAGGCTAAGGATGAAGAATAGAGTTTAGAGGAATGGTCTGTCACATGGTATCCCATAATCCTCCACCTTATACCAATTAACTTTATTTTTAAACACTGTTTTGAAAATATTTTAAGCAGTATATTGCAGTCAACATGGATAAGGGAAATAAAAGCAGTATATGGCTCTCTCATTTGAAGTCAGGACAGATAGGAAAAATTCTAGCTATGACCCCTGGAGCTATATAGGTTTTAGGGCAATCAATAAGTTTTTATTACTTCAATCCATTCCAAACTCCAAGAAATTCAAAATTCAACATTCATGGCTATGTATCTCTCTAGTAAGGTTTTTTTTTTAACCAAGAAATAATCCCTTAAAAATCAGCAATGACTTTAAAAGTAAACTCTAAACAGTATATGTTACAAAAGATCCATGTTTAGGGTTTTTAATATCTTGAATATTGAGATCACTAACCATCCATGGGAGATGATAGCGACTTGCAGAATCACAACTCTGGAAAGGTCATTTCTCCGTGGTTTTCACTGATGTGTGTGAATGCTTTAATCTTTATTTCTTCCTTCTGTGTCCTCCTTATCTGTGTTGTGTCTCATGACTGTTCTGGACTGTCCCTTGCGGTAGGTTTCTTCTGCTACATTCCCAGTCAATGCCGGTGGCTGGGCTCCACCGCTGAGGGCTTACCATTCTGACATCAAAAGGCTGAACTCAACTGATCATACAAGATGACGTTTCTCATTCCAAACATTGCTGACATGGGCTAAATAGAACATGATTTGAAAGTTTACATTGATAGACAGGAAAGAAAATGCAGTCCCTCACACTACCTTTTTTGTGTGCCTTACCCAATCCCATCTGAACAATGTAATTTACAATGAGCAAATACTTCTGCTGGTAGCTGTAGAGGAGGTAAAGTCTGAACTCCAAAGCGCCCCACAGGCGTGCCCCTCTAAACCTGGGAACTTTATGAAAGGCCTGATGTTCCCAACAAAGCTTCCCAGTTACAATTTGCCTGACGTTGGAGCTTCTGGGCTTGCAAGCTTTTTCATTTGAGATTTTTTCCTATAGAGGGAGAAAATATTGCTCTCAGGATAGTATAATAGCTACTGACTTAATAGGTCTGAATTGAATGTGTTGGTACAGTGTACATCTTGATGAGGCTAGGCCTCCGGGACAGGAATAGACTTAATCACTTTGGTGACGAACAGGAGCACTGAAAAACTGTCAAAAATTTAGCCCCATTTCATGCAAAATAATTTCAGAGATTGTCCTGCACCTTCTATTCTGGCAAAAAACCACTTAGGGAGAAGAAGATTTAATATCTCAGCTATTTCAAATTGCATTGGTCTGAAAAATGATATATAAATTGTCAGCTCTGAAAGGGGACTTCTGAAAAGTATTTAAATTCATGATTTTTTCTTTGTAAAGTATGTGACAATGGAGTGACATATAGGTATTTTCAGTGAGTGGGTGGATTAAGGACTTTTCTATTCTTTTAAAAAATAATCAAACTATTACATAGAGGTTAACTACCAAAACCATAGTTTCTATATACATATGATTGTACCTGACGAGGGTTCTCCAGGACAAATGGAGGCCACTGCCCAAAGTATTCTAGTCAGAATCAGTCATCTTAAGGCAATTCATCAATAGCTTTGCAGTTCCTGCTTTAATTCTTATGAAATTATTTTAATATTCAACAAAGCGCCCAAGTATAAATTAATTAAATCTTTCTAAATTAAATGGCATAGGGCTGGCCACATTTGAAAATGGTAATTTTCAATTTTTCAGGCTCATTGTAGACTCTTGAGATGTGTCAAAAAGCACAAAGGGTGACACATGTGACGACAGCTTAGCTCTGTGGAGATGTTCTTCTGAGCAGAGAGCAGAACTAATGTGCTATGACAGTCTCCCTGCAAATGGATTTGGGGGATCATTGTGGGGTTAGCTGGGAGGAGCCAGAAATGGAGGTTGCCATTTCAAGCCCCACTAACGCTCTCTGTGTAAGTGATAAGGACAGGGAGCGCCTTCCCTGAGCAGGACGACAGCAGGGGAAAGGTCTGTGTACAATAACAAACAGGAATAGCAAGATGGTGAGCCATGGTATGATGGCCCGGGGCCTCTTTGCAGCCTGGCTAAACCTCTCCTATTCAAGTTGTGTAAGAGTTCTCACAGCAGCTTGGGAGCCGACAATAGTTAGACGATAGTAAAGACTCTTTACTTCTGTTAGAGAAATAGGCAGTTCCCTGTTCCTATGCTTCCTTTCAATTTCTGTGAGATTCCACAGCAGCACACACACAACAAAAATATGACAGCTACAAGGAAATAGGTATAACATTTGCTCCATTGAAAAAATAAAAGCGAGCAATGTAAAGTAAATGCCCAAATGAAATGTGCAGAACAAAATATGTGAATGGCTAATACAGATAACTTTAAATTTTTCAAACATACTAGTGAGCAGAAAAATGAGACTTTTCACAACTGTTAATTGTGAGGGATGACTATGTATACATCCCATAAAGAAATCTTCCAATATTATAAACCTTTGCAGTAGAAATCTCTAGCACGATATTTACAGTTTAAGAAAATAATATAGACTTTGATTTTTAAAATACAGAAAAATGTATGTATTTTATGACATGGTGATCTCTCAAATATTTTAATTTATATTCTACCTTTTAGAATACTTAATTGCTTAGATTAGGTTTGCTAAGTCTAGCACCATGGCCCATGTTCTTTAATGCAAAATTAATTTTTTTATACCCACATGAGGTTTACCAAAATTACACACATGACTATTTTAGCTTTGATATTAAATAAACTCAAATCAGTTTAATTCAGCCTAGCTTTCCAAGGAGCTGTTATGAAAACGAAATGGTAAAGTTCAGCTGGAAATGGGCTGAACTACTCTCTAAACATGCATTTGCTGGCGGCATGTTTTTTCCTTTTTCCTTAAATGTTACAATTATATATGTGAAAACACAAAGAATTTACATTTCCTGAGGGTCACTCAGCCATCTTTGGCACAGCAATAAGGCAACAGAAGGCCATGCATTCCATACGAATCTCTCCACTGCATGCACCAATGATGTTTTACATGATGCAGAGCACCTCTGCAGCTACGAGAATGTGAAACCCAGCCTGGAGACAAGCATGTTTTATCATACTAGAAAAAAAAAAAAGAGGCAATGTAATCAGAGCCAAGAATAAAACTGAGTTGACATTTTCCTTGCAACAATGTTACATTTTCGCTTGCTATACTCTGAGGGGGCTTCTTCCATTGCTTCCATGTTGCTTGCTGATTGGGGGGAAAAGGTCCATGCACAAGTGGAATTAAAAATTAAATGTGTATGTTAGCAGCCAATGAGAATGTGTCAAACAAATAGATGTCCAGCATCTTAGTGCTTGCTTCAAACAGCTTGGAGGTCTAACTGTATGGCTAGTTTAATTTGGACTCTGATGAAAATTCATTGGAATTTCTTTTTCCCTCTCATCATAGGCCCTTAAGGATGATGATGCTGAAACTGGATTGACTGATGGAGAAGAAAAGGAAGAACCCAAGGAAGAGGAGAAACTGGGAAAGCTCCAATATTCACTGGACTATGATTTCCAGAATAACCAGGTCTGAGGGGGAAATGCCTAATTCCATTACATTTTCTGAAATTACCAAGTAGAAATTGAAGCAGGTTACTCCTTAAAAAATTTCGTTTGCTGTGAGGGGGAAAATGCAATTATCAAAGCTATTGATGAAATCATTTCTAAGTACAGGCAGTCCCCTAGTTGCTAATTTAACTTCTGGTAATTAGAATTCACAGTATTCCGCCGATTACATCTACTGTGGCACTGACAGGAAGCAGGCAGAATACAAATTAACTCCAAGCCATCAGTTGCTGCTGAGAGCTCCCAGCCAGTAGAGTCGCTATAGGTCCCTCAATGTGAGCAGGAACAGCCTTCCCAACAATGTCAGCTGCCGTCCAAGCCCACTTTTAGAAAAATAAGTTTAAAAAGCAGTAGAAGAATTAAAAGCTGGGCAGTGCTTTGTGGCTTGTAAAGGCAGATATACCTTATATGCAACCCCATGCTGCTAAGTGAGAGTCCCACAGTGATAAGACAGCAACTTTGTAAAAGCAGAAAGATGGGCAGCTTGATTCTCTGAGCCCAAGAAGGCTGCCCAGAAACTACAAGACTAAAGACCCCAAAACAGGCATCCCTGCTTCTGTTTCTCAAAAAGTGCCAAAGCGCTTTAAGATCAGGGACAACAGCAGCCTCTTTTCACTGAGTGCCTATTACCAGGTACCTCTGAGTGTGGAAAATGCCTTTGAAACCCCTTCTAGATAAGATCCATAGTATTAATGGCTATTCCCTTTGCTTTCTGAATTGCGAGAAAAAAAAATGAGTAGACTTGGTAAGTTCAGGATGTAGCCCTCGTACTGCCGGGGAGTCCAGATCTCCCCCTCTCATCCTTCTTCCTTTCCTGGGGGAGGAAGGATAATGGGAATGCAGCATATGCTGCAGAGATCCTGTTTGACGAGCAGTGAGTGATAAGTAATCAAACATCAACACTCAGCTCTGATGGCTACTGTCCAAAGACAGAATTGGAAGCCGCTGTAGCAATGCTGTACTTTATTGGGGAACTGTCTTTGATTTTAAAAATTCTTGGGATTTAAAAATGTTTTCATTTGATCAGTTTCATTATAGCCCTGGCTAGTTATTTCATAGTACAGTCTAGATACCTACACATTGGTTTTAGGTGTGGTATATCAGTATATCTTTATATAGGATCATAGATAAGCCATTTACATCTTGTAATTAATGAAATACATTTCAGGTCATTTCTACTACTCTGACCAAAATGTGAGCATTAGGATTTAGTCAGAAGCAAAATAACCAATCATTTATAATATATATTTCAGGAAAGGGAAAGTTTAGCTTGCATCACATTACCATGGAGGTTCCAGGTTTTTAACCTGCTTTTATATATCCATCTTGTATTTTTTCTCTCTATATATTTCCCAGTAGAAAACTAGTAGCAACTCATAGGTCTAATTTTGAAACTTCTAAATATTTTTATGTGTATGGGTGTTTTGTTCATATGTGCGTGCACCCGTGTGTACAGTGTGGTCATGGGGGTCAGAAGGTGTTGGCTCCCTGGAACTAGAGATGCACGAGCTGTCATGTCGGGGCTGGGAACCCAAGTTCAGTCCTCTGGAAATGGAGCAAGTGCCATCTCTTCAGCCCAATAGTTCTCTCAAGAATAGAATTGATCCACTTTCACTCAAAAATAATATGAATATTTATGACTCTGTTTTCAGCAAACATTAAGTCCAAAATACACATTTTGTTATGATGGCCTAGAAGATTTTATTGATAAAAGTTTATAAATAGCATGCACTGATTTTGATCCCAAATGTTCTTAGCTAGTGTCAGTCACATTGTTCCTGTGAGTCAGGGAAGGTTTAGTCTGAGGAACCCTGTAGACAAGGCTTTAATCAAATATGAGTATTTATTTACCAAAACCAAAAGGTGCCGTTAAAGTGATGAAGAAAAAAAAAAGAAGAAGCGTTTGTGGTGGGAAAATGGAACATCTCTCTCTTAAATAGAAGTTAAAGTGATAGTAGGAAAAATCACTCCAACCTCTCATGACAAGATATCCGAGTCTATTATTACCCCTCTTCACCGAGTTTCAGTTATATTTGCACTGTTTTCCCTGCAGAAAGAAAATCATTTGTAAGAAGTGAGAAGGAGGAAATAGAATATTCCTTCTATTGCCATCAAAGGCCAGATGGAATATAACAAACCGAGAGACAGGGAGCTTTATTACTCATGTGATCATAATCTAGTGCCTCCATTAGCGAACAGAGACCATGTGTGTCTGTTCGTGTTCCTGCCTTCCAGTATCCATTGCTGCTCCTTAAAGGCAACACCACAAACTAGGTAATGCAGCTTTAAAGTGAAGACAACACACTCCTTCACATAGAGTCCTAGTTGGAGATTGAGTCAGTCAGCGAAAATGCAGCGAGAATGCCCTTGGGTCTCTCTACAGAAAATGGGTGGTGTTGTGGTTTTTGTCTTTTGTTTGTTTGTTTTTTAAAGAAATGAATTCTTTGTCCACTTTATTGGCTAAAAAGTCAGACTCTTATTTATGTTCAGGACTTGTGAAAACCTGGGGTGTGACTGGATTTATTGAATAGCATTTACATCGATGTCTTGACAAATCTGTGGATCCAGAATCTGCAATAACAAGATTTCCCATTTTTTTCCTTTGCAAATATATTAACAAGCTGGTTTGGTGGTCATACCTAGAATCTGAGTACAAGGGAGATTGAGACAGGTGGTTTGCCACAAGTTTGTGGCCAGCCTGGGCTACAGAGTAAGATTCTTTCAAAAGAAAGAAAGAAAGAAAGAGAGAGAGAGAGAGAGAGAGAGAGAGAGAGAGAGAAAGAGAAAGAAGGAGAGAGAGAGGGAGAAAGAGAGAAAGAAAGAGAGAGAAAGAAAGTGAGAAAGAAAAAGAGAGAGAGAAAGAAAGAAAGAAAGAAAGAAAGAAAGAAAGAAAGAGAAACCCTAATAATGCCACCTTATTTTAATATTCCCAATGAAAGTGAGAACTTTATTGGTGAAAATTACAGTGCAGATAAAATTGCTGTTAGGAAAAAAAATAGTTATTTAACATGAATATTTAAATCTCTAATTCTCCTTTTGAAGAAACTTGAATTTTCATCCTACATTTAAATGAAAACTTTCTTAGATAGTTATTCTATCATAAGCTAAGTGTAAAGGTCAAGTGGGGTAGAAATGTAAAGTTCTCTTTTTCTTTATTTCAAAATATTAATCAATGACTAAGAAATTTCCATTTAACTGTTCTAAGATGTAAGAAAAGAATAAAAAAAAAGTCGCTTTGCAATCACAGACTAGTGGTTGCTTAACGATTTATTTCCACTTATAAAGCATGAACTGGAAGAAAAACAATGCACAAGAGCTTTTAGCGACTGGGAAGTTGCTTGACTGCAAACCTTCTGCAAATATGAATTCCATATTTAACTGTAATCAGCAACCTTTTAAAAGCCTCTTTTGTACTTAAAACTAGGCTTCCTAGAGCCCACATCTGTCATAATTTGGCTTCTAATGTCTAAGGAGCTCACTGCATGTGCCCTCTGTGTTCAGATTCATGAGAATAAAAGTTTATTAAAAGCAAGGGCTGAACAGGGGACATGGCAGTATGTGACGCTGTGAACAAATCGATCTTCCTCGGATGACCAGCCTTGTGCTGCTCGTTTGTTGCTTGTCTCAGCTGCTGGTCGGGATCATCCAGGCTGCTGAACTGCCTGCCCTGGACATGGGGGGAACGTCTGACCCCTACGTCAAAGTGTTCCTGCTGCCTGACAAAAAGAAGAAATTCGAGACAAAAGTCCACCGAAAGACCCTCAATCCGGTCTTCAATGAACAATTTACTTTCAAGGTAAATTTGGGGATTGATGTACAGCTTTTCCTCCGTGGTTTTAGATTAAATGCCACTTTCATCCTGACTCACGTTAGAAGCATAAACAGCGGCTCTAGCACGCACCACAGTTATATCTGGAATGATTTTACTTTTTAATTTTCAGTCGGGTGAAGATTCTGCATCGTAGGTTTGAGCCACGTCTTTTCAGAACAGAAGGTAGAACTTTCCATGCCAGTACAATATCAATACTTAAAAAAGCAAGGTTGACTCCATGGGTATCATAGGACTTGAGCACCACACCGCACTGCCTCCAAAAATAAAGCCCAAGCTATGACTTTTCAGAGCTTCAAAGTCTCTGAAAGATAGGCCAAGTCTGTAAGGTCTATCGCAGTCAGAATGGAGGAAACTGTTCTCCAGTGCTTGCTTACCTTGCTGCTATGGAGAGGTTTGAACAAGCTGATGCCCTTTTTGCTAGCACTAAAAAGGCTATGATATTCTCTAGCATCATTCCTTTACTCTAGGCTCTTCTCTGATGCTCTTCATCATGTCGAGACGCATCAGCTGACAAACAATAACCAAGAGACATTCTGACCACATGACAACCCATCAAGACGACATGCCCTGAAAGCCGCCAGGCACCTTGTAACTCTTCGCTTGAAGTCATTCAAAGAAACAGTGCTTCGAGCGGAGATATTGAACTGTTTTAAAATGTTTTCCTTAGAACAATACATTTCTGGAAAATGAAATTTCTGTGAATATGCCAGCAGGCTGATTCAAAATTACCTCGTCCACCAGCCAGGCTTAGCAATAACATGAGCCTTGTGTTGGCAAACATTCCAGTGGGAAATGAAACAGGGGGCATGAGTCACCTCTTGAAATCTTGTTTGCAGTTTCGTGAAAGAGCAGTGTTTCTATTCTTTAAAGTCTTCGGATTTTAAGGACATAAATCCTTTAGTTTTTCCTTGCCTAGACCATTAAAATAGCAATATTAAGAGTCTGGAATTTTCTGGCTTAAAAATAAGTCATTGTGAGCCCTATATCAAAAAAGTTAAATATCAGTTACTTAAAATCTTGTAGATAGTAATAAATATTATCGATTTGGTTATATATTAATTTTTCAGGTTGGCTATTTCTAAATAGAATTCAGATTCTTACAGTATTTGAAATAATATTGTAGTATCCTCCTTTAGTATTTGTATATCATTTCTTTTGAAGCATGTTTAGGGTATTATTTTACTTAGTAATGTCTGATTCCAAGAACCATATTAAAAATTTTAATCATATATAAATTTTTATAATGTCTACATTATTTTATTTCATGGAAGTGGATCAGGCTATAAATATATTTGAAGTATAATTGTTTCAAGGAATTTAAGAAATATGTTGGTTTCTGCAGTGGACATTGTAAACTGTATCTTGAAATGCCTGACCGCCATGCAGAATAAGTTGAGAAACATAAGAGAATGGCTTGCAAGTTGAGTTAAATGTACTTGAAATGAACAACATTCACCAAAATGAATTATTCTTCTTTCTGCTAAAATGAACTTCCATTTGAAGAGGGTATTAATTTTAAAAAAATGATTTTAAATGCCTATAGTGGACTAGATGTTTAAAACATACTCATTCTCAAAATGGCCCAATGAGTGCAGCCATTTGCATCCTTTGTTACCATTTGATAGCTGAAGAGGCTGAGCTTGTTCATTTGCCCAAGGTCCAAGTCTACCTGACCCAAAGCACAGGCATTGCATGGACTATTCAGCATGATCAAACAGTCAAGAAATGTAATTTAAAATCATAAGGGTTTTTATAGTCCCACTCTAATGTGTTGATTCTATTGAAATTTGGATCTTTCAAGCTTATTTTGGGGTCTTCCTAAAAGAGAAAAACATTATACTTCATTTTCATTCACAGGATCTTAGAAAAATAGCCTGAGTCTGACCATAATAAATGACCAAGCTCTCCTTAGAAACTTCAAGTATCTTATACTTAAATGGTCAAATGGTCTTTCATCCCATTCCTTCTTAATGAGAGTTCATTGAAAAATGTTTGTTGGGGCATAGAGCATATACACTGATATTACATGTATTAAAAGTGATCAGATACTTAGTACAAATCTCAACAATCCCTTGATTAGACCTTTGTACCCACTTATTGAAGTGCACCTTACATGAACTGCACAGCTTTCCCTGGATATTAAAAATGCCACTTGTAAACTTTTCAGATTGTAACATTTGTCCCAAATGTATTTGAACAGCTGGAGAATTCATTCGTTCTTGGCCTTTTGCTACTATTCATGCTAACAAGTATCACACTTACGAATGAACTTCAAGATCCACTTGATAATGAATCTGTGATATTCAAAACATCAATTTTCTAGTCAGCTCATGTCAATCACTAAATTATTTTAGAAAGTATATGAGGCATCTTGTGAATTCATTTGGATCCTTTTAGGCTGCTAGCAGAGCTTTTAAATCACCCCTTCATTTAATTCTGGTCTAGATCAATGGTTCTCAACCTTCCTTACTCTGCAACCCTCATGTTGTGGTGATCCCCAACCACATTATTTTTGTTGCTACTTCAGCAATGTAATATTGCTACTGTTATGAATAATAATGTAAATATCTGTCTTGTCTGATGGTCTTAGGTAACCCCTATGAAAGGGTCATTTGACCACCACCACGAGATTGTGACCCACAGGTTGAGAACCGCTGGCCTAGATGATCTGGAAAAGTCTATTAAACTGTGGCATCCAAATGACTCGACACTTTTGAAACCAGTTATAACCCAACAATATAACTAATAACAACAATATCTATATTATTTTGCAAGAAATATAGCCAAATGTAATTGACTTCTTCTTTCGTTAATCATGCGGTATTTATAGTGTAATGGGAAGATCCATTAGTGATAATAGCAACCGCTTCTAGAACATCAGAATAAAACGATAAATCACTGCAGTGGTTTTCTATTTTCTCCCAATAGTTCAAGTCAAGAAATTGGCTAAAAGACTCGATGTAAAGGGGAAAATCCTGTTGTGGTTCTCCAATGTACATATTAAAAGCTACCTACAAATAGCAGGTTTCAAGCATTTGGTGACCAGGTATCTTACCCTTATCTCCTGTCATACAGGTGCCATACTCGGAATTGGGTGGCAAAACTCTGGTGATGGCTGTGTATGATTTTGATCGTTTCTCCAAGCATGACATCATTGGAGAGTTTAAAGTTCCTATGAACACTGTGGATTTTGGCCATGTAACCGAGGAATGGCGTGATCTCCAGAGCGCTGAGAAGGAAGAGGTAGGAAAATCACTGGCATTTCTAACTTGACAAGCTGTATTCATTCACCTGTTGCTGTTCAAACACTAACCCACAGAGAGGTAATCTTCCTAGAAAGTGACACGGGCCTTTAGAAACTGACAGCTGCCTAAACAGAGTCAGAGGGATTGCATGACCCTGCTAAAATATATTTAGGACTTCTGGGTGGAATTTAAAAGAAAATAGAGAGAGACACATACTGGGAATATAAACAATTCCTTCTTTAAAGAGATTGTGCAATCATTTTAGATTGTCTGCATAGGGCTTAGAACTATTACGGTGAAATAAAAGAGTACTTTTCCCTTGATTATGTCTGCATATTGTCGCTTGTTTCTCATGCAGATATCAAAGCATAATGGGAAAAAACCTATAGCACAGAAAAGCCAATATTAAGTCCATTTTTTTTAAGTGACTCACATCTTCATGGTACTGTTCACACTGTTTTTCTCCTACTTTTAATAGCCCAATATCTTTCTGTCATTTTAAAAAAGTTCAATATCTGTAGCGTATTTACATGCCACAGTAACCAATTCTGTTTGATTGTGCCATGCCTGCCTAGCATGGGCGTTTTTCTATTTGAATGTTTCAGCAGGCTAATATTTGAAGAACAAATAGCCCTTAGCTTCTCTCGGGTGTAAAACAACTCCTTTCAGGTCCCTCTTTAGTATAGCAGCAATAATTTCTCAGGATCTCTCACATTGGTACCATGTAGTCACTCTAGCACCACAAAGGTCTCAGCCTAGTTCATTATCATGAGAATACTCTCTTTGAATATGCACCAATACAAGAAGAATCCCCCAAAATATCAATTTCTTAAGCTTTGTGATTTTATATGTAACTCTTGCCTGTGCCTGAGATAATACTTGTCAACTCAAGTATGCATACGATGAGAAAGCTAATTGCTCAGTAATAGTGTTTCTATACAAAAGAGTAGTAAGATGTTCCATGAGTTCCTGTTTTTTATTTGAATGTAACATGTTTACTCACTGACTGGTATTCATTAATTAACTAGCTTCTGGTTGGCTAATTGGTTGAATATGACCCTAATATATTATACCTAATAAGGCAAGGGTTCATGGCTCCCCCATACTTACCTTTTACTAGGTTCATGGTGTAGGATTCTACAATCACACCCACTAGCTTTCTGAGAAGTGTGTTTGCCTGAATCAAGGAAAATTTCCTAGTAGTCTATATCCCTCTTTCAAAGATTCCTTGAGTAACTGCAGGGTTTAAGACTTAGCACTAAACTAATCAGTTTGCTCTAGGAAGACAATGGCTGTCCCTCCTTGGCTGCCCCCTTCTTTCTTCTGCTGTTCTTGTCTCCCATAACTTCTTGAAGACATTTGTCACCCAAATCATGGAAAACAACTCATTTTGAAAATAGTAATTACCAGATTCCTGGAAATCCTGCTGTGCTTTTAGTGAAAATAACAGGTGTACATAACGGTCTCCAGCGGCCTCTTCTTCAGCTTCGACCTGTCCTTCATATTAACTGGATGCTGGGGAAAGGCCTACCTTACAATCACATTTCACCATTTCAATTCTAGCTAATCCATTTATTAGCCCCTGGAATAAGTCACTTAAGCACTTTCAAAATCATTGTTTTAGCCGAAAAAGTAGCCTAACATTACCTACACCATATATCCTTTATAAGTAAGATAAAATGTAAAACTACTCACATAGTCTCTTCATTAGAGAGGTAACTGGTTGCCTATTTTTTCTCAAGGCCTGTCTTCATTTTCCTACTCTCATTTTCTTTCTCCATCTGTATCAACTCAATTCTCTTTTCTCACATCACTGTGCTGGCTGAAAGCACATACGCTTGGAATACATTTCTCTTTGGTCTTCACTCAGGAAGAGTAACTTTAGTCCAGTGGAGAGGCTATTTTCTCTATTGTGAAATAGAAAATATCTAAAACATAAGTCATTCAACACATTTCAGCATGACTAGATGCAGGTAGACATTTTCTCATAATAGAGGAAACAAGATCCAATTACATTTCCTAGCTCAAAAGTTCCTCACTCTCAGTATTATGTGCTGTCCCTTTTTCTGCTACTGTTTATTAAGTGCAGAAAACAACTTTTGTGTGAATAACCTGGTGCTCTTGGGTGGACTTTAGTTCTCATGACTTCAAAGAACTGTTTTCCCATGTGAGCTATTGTATTCTCAACCTCTGTTTCAACCATCAATGTTAAATATCATTTTAATGTCATAAAGAGTTCATAAATACCTCGGGAACTAGAAAACTTAGCCATAGGAGGCTATTCAACCAGAGACTTGGATAGAAGCAGGTTAAACTGGACCCACACAGTTCCAGCCCTGCAATGTTGATAGAGTGAAGGAAGAGCTGACAACCATTAATGTCCTAAGACAATGAAGCAGTTGCATGAGCAACAAGGTGGCATGCTATTTTAGTGACCGATTGATGTGCAAGCAGTTTAGAAAGGGACAGGCAACCGGCTAGTGTGAAAGCCTAGGGATAAAACACAGAAAAGCACAGGTTCAGATAGGAGGAGATTTGAGCAGGCAAGTTAGGGCTCCCGGCTCTGTTAGATTCCACTTCTGCAGTGGTTTCTATCTACTTCAGTGTTCTTCAGACTAACACAATTCAAGCTGCCGACTGGTCTTGCTCCACTGCCATGTTTTCTTTGTTTTGTGTGATATAATTAACTACTCTCACTTTTCTACATCCCCATGTTTCAATTGATGAAGGTGGAATTTGACCTTGGAGACAATACAGCTTCTCTCTCAAGAGGTGACTCCATGTAAAACCATTAGCTTTATCCAATTTTGCTCAGTATGGAGCCTCAAAATCTATCCATGTAATCAACATATACAGCTCTATTCCATTTGTGAAAGGCTTCTAATATGAATGTCATGGGCTGTCTATGTTGAATTTTTTTTCATATTTTCCCTTTCTGTTTGATCATTCAAGATATAATTTCTCTTGTCACCCAGGGCCCCATCTGAAACTAACAATCATACTTTCAAAATAACCCGCTCCTTTAATACTTTTCCCGCATTACTCCAAATGCAACAATCAACAACTATGACTGCATTTTTGTCTTTATAAATTTAGCTCAGACTTTGTCTCATTCCTGCATCCAGTTTCAGGGGCATCAGTGCATTGTCATCTGTTACACTGAGCTGCTGCTTCTTCTTCTCACCTCTTCCAGGGTATTAAGAAACGGATGGCCATAGGAAACACGTGGGCATTTCTTCTTCATTTGCACATTTGCTCTCGTGGGCCATAAATGCATGGGCCTGGCAGCTGTTTTCTCTCTGCTACCAAGTAAAGTCTATCACCTCTTTTTGTGTGAATTTGTCAGAGCGCTTTTTAAATGAGGCTCTGTAATCCAGTGCAAATGGAAAAAAAATTGATTGCTGAATTAAAACAAGTTGGGACATAATTTAATTAGTATCCAGGCAGAAGGGAAGAGAAACTACTTTAGGTCCTTAATGGAAAATCAATTTTGCAAGAAAATTTCACATTTTTAAGCCTAATTAGAAAAACATTTACTTCACAGAAAAGCATTTTGAGAATACATATTCAATCAAATGGCAGGTCTGGGGGCTCCAGTGGTCATTTCCTTTGTAAGTTTTTGAAATGAGTTAAAGTTATTTCTTGCAGCATCTTTACGGCTAAAGATCATGAAACAACTGACGTTGTTTCTAAGCACATTTAGGAATTAGATGGCAAGTCAAGCTGTCAGACACAAGCCCTGACACATACCAACAAACAAATGCTTTGACTGGAAATTGTTTTAAGTGCTATGCCAGTAGCAGCCTTGCTTGTCACTCACAGACCCTCACCTTTAGGAAACGCACTGAAAACATTCACTCACGTCCACATCCTCTCAGGAAGATGCAGAAAACATGTCTCCAGGCAGGAGCTGTTTTTACGCTTCGCACTAAAAGAAAAAGCTGGGGTGGGGCAGGATAGACATATAAGAAAATCATTGTTACTTTTAGTTGATGAGTGCAAAAATTACAGGTTTTCTCTCACAAATTTTTTTGTAGTGTCTTATTCACTGTCTCTTTCCTTCCCATAACCTCATTTTCATCCTGTTTCTATGATTCATGTGGAGCCTTATAGGTTAGCTTTAACAATGATTAATAGTCTCTGCTTGGAACATGAAAATGAAAATCAGAGGAATATGAGAATATGTTCTAAGAAGAATTCAAATAATATGACCCAAATCCAAATATACCATGCCTAGAAAATGTGTTGTTAAACAAATATATGGTACAATAGATACCACTTAGCAATGCAGAAGTATTTTATAGCATATTAGACCATGATACACTTTAGGAATATTCGTATCTATACGTTCATCCTATGAGACTCAGAATATATTGATTTCACTTTATCCTACAGAAGCATAGACTCAGGTGATAGTTCATGATGTGTCTTTGACCAGAATTTCATTCACTAGTTCTATTTTAATGTATACAAAATACTGTCAACTTTATAATGTGGTTAAGAAAAATATAGGAAAAGTAAACAACTTGAAATATCTCTGACATGTATATTGTTATTATTGTTGTTGTTAAACAAATATATGATACAATAGAGACCACTTAACAGTACAGAAGAATTATATATATATATAATTTATATATATATATTATATATATAAATATATATATTTATAAATATATATAAATATATATAATTTATATATAATTTATATTTATAGTATATATATAATTTATATTTATAAATTTATATTTATAAATTTATATTTATAAATTATATATATAGTATATATATATAATATACTATATATATAGTATAATATAGTGTGGGAATTTTAGACTGAACATCTCACATAATCTCACATAATTGAGCTCTTAAACAAAATTTTAATAATTTTGAGTATTCTCCATAAAAGTAATGTAAAGTGGACTCATTTAGATCAAGAATTAAGCTCAAGGAAGGCCCCAGATATTGTCAAATTGCCATCTCACTAGCACCCAT